CCCCAGTGGTCCTTAGTGTGCCCCCCTTCTCCCCCAGTGGTACTTACCCTCCTCTTCCTCTTCCCTCCTGCCAATGTAGCGTGGCCAGGCGGCACGGAACGCGGGACAGGAACCTCCGTTTCCTGTACCCGGCCGCCGGCGGACTGACAGGAAGTGCCTTCCTGTCAGTCCGCCGGCGGCCGGGTTCAGGAAACGGAGGTTCCTGTCCCGTGTTCCGTGCTGCCCGGCCACGCTACATTGAGAGACCGGCAGGAGGGAGCGCTCTGCGCTTCCCTCGTGCCGGTCACTCAAATCCAGCCGCCCTCCACAGCAGTGCTGCGCCGCATGAGGCTTGTAAAAGCACTCAGGCGGTGCAGAATGAGGAGCCGCCGGGCGCAGGGATCCGGTGCCCCCTGCTAAGGTGCGCCCTAGGCGGCTGCCTAGGTCGCCTTACAGGTAGCGCCGGCCCTGTGTAGGAGATCTAGTGTGTAAAGGACTCAGAGTGTGTATAGGAGATTGTATGTGTGTGTGTGTGTGTGTGTGTGTAGAGGATTAAGAGTGCATATAAGGTAAGGGATCTAGCGTGTATCTGGAGAGTAATGTGTGTAGTGGTGCCGTGTGAGGGGTGCTGTAGTGTCTGTATATATATATTTGGACGTATTGTATGTGTGAGGGGCGCATTGTGTGTGTGTGAGGGGTGCAGTGTGTGTGTGTGTGTAAGAGGGGTGCTGTGTGTGAGGGTGTTTTTATCTGCCATCACATTCTAGGTTTTTAATTTTTTTGTCTGTTAACTCACTGAGGGTTATTTTATTATATATATATATATATATATACATACATATATATATATATATATGTGTGTGTGTGTGTCTGTGTATGTGCTGTATATGTGTGGGAGTGTGCTGTGTGAGTGAGGGTGCTGTCTCTCTGAGGGAGCAGTGTCTGTCTGAGTGAGCATTGTGTGTCTGAGGGTGCTGCATGTGTGTCTGAGGGTGCTGCGTGCGTGTCTGGGTGCTGTGTGTGTCTGAGGGTGCTGTGTGTGTCTGGGTGCTGTGTATGTCTGGTGTTGCTATGTGTGTGTCTGGGGGTGCTGTGTGTGTGTCTGGGTGCTGTGTGTGTCTGGGTGCTGTGTGTGTCTGGATGCACTGTGTGTATCTGGGTGCACTGTGTGTGTATCTGGGTGCTGTGTGTGTGTCTGGGTGCTGTGTGTGTCTGGGTGCTGTGTGTGTCTGGGTGCACTGTGTGTCTGAGGGTGCTGTGTGTGCTCCGGTTTCTGTGTGTCTGGGCACTGTGTGTGCCTGGGGTGCACTGTGTGTCTGGAGGGTGCTGTGTGTGTCTGAGGGTGCTGTGTGTGCCCGGTGCACTCGTGTGTCTGAGGTGCTGTGTGTGTCTGCGGGATGTGTTCCGTACTGTGTGCTCCGTGCGCTGTGCCTGGGTGCTGTGTGTCTGGGATGAATCCGTGTGTCTGAGGGTGCTGTGTGTGCTCCGGAGGGTGTGAGTGTCTGGGGGTGCAGTGTGTGTTGCGGTGCTGTGTGTGTCTGGGGGTGCTGTGTGTATCTGGGTGCTGTGTTTGTCTGGGGGTCCTGTGTGTGCCTGGGTGCTGTGTGTGTCTGGGTGCTGTGTGTGTCTGGGGGTGCTGTTTGTGTCTAGATGCTGTGTGTGTCTGGGTGCTGTGTGTGTCTGGGTGCTGTGTGTATCTGGGTGCTGTGTGTGTCTGGGTGCTGTGTGTATCTGGGTGCTGTGTGTGCTCCCGGTGCACTGTGTGTCTGAGGGTGCTGTGTGTTCATGCCAGGTATGTCTGGGTGCACTGTGTGTCTGGGTGCTGTGTGTGTCTGGGTGCACTATGTGTCTGAGGGTGCTGTGTGTGTCTTGGTGCTGTGTGTGTCTGAGGGTGCTGTGTGTGTCTGAGGGTGCTGTGTGTGTCTGGGTGCTGTGTGTGTCTGGGTGCACTGTGTGTGTCTGGGTGCACTGTGTGTCTGAGGGTGCTGTGTGTGTCTGGGTGCTGTGTGTGTCTGAGGGTGCTGTGTGTGTCTGGGGGTGCTGTGTGTGTCTGGGGGTGCTGTGTGTGTGAGTGTGAATTTATTTATTTAAATATTTTTTTATTACTAATTTTTAAAATGTTGTAGGGGGAGCCATTCTGCAATGAGGGGGAG